ATAACTTATAATTTCTTATAAAGATAAATAATTAATATGACAAGCACAATTAAGGACAAATACTTGATAAGAATAGTTCAATCTGAAGCAAGATGCCTTCAAAAATGACAATTGATTATAAACTGATAGAAAACTAAAGTTATGATGTTTCAAAAATTAGACTGAACCTGTAGAATCAATATTCAAACAAAAAATTGGCTGCTTGAACAAGTAGAACATTTTAAATACCTAGGCAGCTCATTTAACCAAGACGGCAAGTTCATTATGGAAATATGATCCAGAATTGCACAGGCAAAGTCAATGTTTATGAATAAAAGAAAATTGTTTTATTTCACTCGCATAGAATAAAAAAATACTACTTAAGATATAAGTAAGGATTGTAGCGCTATACGACTGTGAAACCTGGATACTAAATATAATGGAACAACAAATTTTTCAAAAAAATTTTGAACTATGGTGTTTGAGAAGAATGTTACGAGTAAGTTGGACAGAACACCATACCAACAAAAGCATACTCAGAGAAGTAAAGAAACACATACAGATACTTAAAAGCAAGGCAATGGAACATGATTGGTCACATTTTGAGGGACGAAAATGAACTAATTTATAAAATAATAGAAGGGAAAATTGAAGAAAAGAGCGAATAAGGACTTCTAGGAACTTCATCTATCAAACAAATGTTTTCCATTGTAAGACTATCAATCTACACTAATTGAAAAGATTAGCTGAAAAATTAAATGAAGAATGAAGAGCACAAATCTGACTGCAAAATCAACCAAAAGGTTGAATACAATATGAGAGAATAGTTCGATTGCAATTTCATTAATATCATTGTACTAGAATAAAATATTGACATATAAGAATAACCAATAGTAACTATAAGAATCTTAAATATGTTTTATTCATACATTAATCTATATATAATATAAATAGTGTAAAATATAATTTAAAAAATATATTTTAAATAAATATATAACTAATAATTATCTATTATAACCAAATAATATAAAACTATCACCAATGGAATTAGATGTAGTTTTAATTAAATGTGATAATAAATGCATAATATAAATTATGAGTTATATTAATATTAAGTATGCATCAAATAGATCAGATAGAGACAACCATTATAGAATCTATTAAGTTATAATAATTGTAGAATTGAAAATTTAGAAATGAATATGATCAATGGTATTATATAGCAATCAGCTGTATTTATTAAATTTTAAAATTAAACAACCCATCACAGGATTTCTAGGATTACATTCAGACATCATTATGATGTCAGTCAATGATCATAATTGTTCAAGCTTAGTTCTAAAGATCACACTATGAATCAAATCAAAAACTGAAATCCCTGTAATTTTTATGTTAGTTAAAAGTCTACTAAGAGATATATTCTTAAATATATTCTTTCTTTTAAATTTCATGAAATGGATTTAAACTCTAAATCTAACATAAGCGCCATAATTTGTGTAGCACGCTTATGTTAAATACTACATATTAAATAGTCAACTAAACAAATACTGACACCCTTTTAAGTCTTGAAAATAACATTGTTTGAATCAAATCTTTAGTATATTTAGCTTCAGGCTAAATACCAAGAGTTAGTTTACATAAAATTTTCAAAATATGAAACATGAAATTTCTAATTTTATAAAAATAAATGAATCAGTTAATAAATGAAATTTAACAAGATTAGTTTTTTCATTTTTCTTGATTATCAAAATGACTGGAGAAATAATTACTAATCATTTAAATATTGTTTTGAGTCCTATATCTTAATTAAAATTTAAACTGCAAGAAGTTTTGTAAAAAATATCATAAAATTTAAACACCAAAAGAGTTAAATAAATGTAATAACAAAAAATTTTTTATTTGGCTCATTGCTTAGAATATAAAGATATTAATTTACTAAAATAGATTTCCTACAAAAATGCTTCTATTTTTCACGTCTATCATACTAGAATAAACAACTTACCTGCGGAGGAAATAAATCGAGAGTGCAATCAATACATGGCGTGATTCCAGGTAATATAACACGAACATTGCCTTTGAAACCTTCAGTACCACCATCAATCAATGGTATTACAGTAGAATTATCAAGTTGCTGATTTTCATCATACGACAACAAAGACACAACCATACCATTTATCCAACGACGTGCAACCACAGAATCAAGACCACATACAATAAAATGAAATTGCCTGTAAAAATCTTCGCTTTTGTCTTGTATTTTACAATGATGAGGTGTAACACGGCAAGTAGGTACACGTTTATTAATGAATCTAGCTGCAACTTCTGCTTTGGAACTGTTGACATCTTTCTTACGAAACAGAAACTGACGGTTTAAATTAGATAAGTCTATTGTATCCATATCTATAACATGTACATCTCCAAATCCCATCATTGCAAGGTCTTTAAGTAACTCACAACCCAATCCACCAGCACCAACGACAAGTATTCTACATGCATTTTGAAGAAAATCTAAAATGCCAGTGCCAGGTTCAAAATCGGGATGACAAAATGGACTAGAGCGTTCAAGTATTTTCTTCAAATGACTCCATCTACGATTATCATAGTCGGACATACTGATTATAAATTTAAAACACAAATAAATTTATTCAGATTGTTACAAAAATTAAATCATTTAATAATTAAAAAGTTGTTTAAAAAAAAACTAAGAATAGAAAATATTGGTTGAAAATAGTTATTTGTGATAAAAATGTATATTCAAAACCGGTATTCACTGATAAAAATGTTTCAATGTGTGATAAATAATAATGGATTATAATAACAAAAATACCTGTATAATTTAAGCTATATATATAGCTATATTTACAATAAATTACTAAATTATTATTATCTGGTAAATTAAACAAAAAATTGATTGCCAATAAAAATGAATATAATAAATTAATTCTTAATTTTCATATTATTTTAAGCTGTAATTATTGAAATGTAATAAAAACAACCTTCAAATATAAAATGGTATTGACAAATCATATGATATTACTGATAAGGAAATACTATAAAATGCCTTCAATAATTAAAATTCTTCAGTGTATTTGTACTCTTTAAACCTTGTGTCAAAGTTAATTTTATTATAATACATTTTAGTTCCGTATTCAATTTTAACCTTAATTATATCCTTGTGAGTGTTGACAAAGTAAACATAAAATCATAAAAATGTCGTGTTTAAATGTAATTTCTCGAAATTTCTCGACCTCTGTTGTTCGGGCAGCAATTAAAAATGTCACTGTTGTCGGAGGTGGATTAATGGGTTCTGGTATTGCTCAAGTATCTGCTCAAACTGGTCACAATGTAACAATTGTAGAGCTCAATCAAGACGTTTTGGACAAAACTCAGAAAAGCATTCAGCAAAGTTTGCAAAGAGTCGCTAAAAAGATCTATAAAGAAAAA